TAAACAAATACAGTTAGACCCATAAATCATTAATTTCATTATTAGTATGTGTATTTAATGATGATAAAAAGTTAGCTTGAGAATTAAGTTATTAAATGAAATAAGTACATCCTGCACAAATGCTATGTTCATGTTCAGTGAACTATTTAAACCCATATTCTTGAGTCAAACACTCGTATTTCAGTTAACATGTTTATAGGTCTGCAACTTTTAAACAATCAATCTATTGTATTATCTTATTATTCCTTAGTCTATATATATTTTCATTTATACCCTTAGGATGTTTATTGTTTATTTATATATTCTTTCAATCGCCTGTCACTTCAATCTCAACGTAAGAAAGACGTTTAATTTGCGACCTAAGTAACTCACCTAGCTTGTAGATTATACTAAAGAGTGATGAAAACTTTTCAGTTGCCTTCAAGGATTTGTAAATTTATTTTTTCTTCTAAAAACTGTGCTGAAATCGGAGTCGTGTTGGATTTCAAACTTAAGTAAAGTGCACTTTAGTTGGATTGGGTGTACGCATTACGCACAGTATCCTATTCCGGGGGTTCGGCTTAGCGGCCTTAACCTCTGCATGTGCGTATTCCAGTAGACCGGTAATTGGGGTTGGGTTTACAGCTTCTCTGGGTGGGTTGGGAGTATTGGAAGGGGGTGGAGAAGTACTGGAGAGGGGGGGGGAGTGTTTTATGGTTGTGGTTTAGACGTGCTGAATGAGCATGTCTATCGCATCTTACAATCTTCAGTGTTTTGTTAGTTGTTTTTTGTGTAGAGAGGGTTTTCGTGGGATATTACTGAACATTTAGCTAGAGCTAGAGCTAGAAATAGAGCTAGAGCTAGATGTAGAAATAGAGCTAGAGCTAGAGCTAGAGCTAGCTAAATATACCTAGAGCTGGAGCTAGAGCTAGAGCTAGAGCTAGAACTAGAGCTAGAGCTAGAGCTAGAGCTAGACCTTGAGCTAGAGCTAGAGCTAAAGCTAAAGATAGCGCTAGAACTAGAGATAGAGCTAGAGCTAGAGATAATTTGAACCAACCACGAAACTAAGATTGTGGTTTGTTGAGAGCTAAATCCAATTTGGATTGAAAACCATTTACATCAAATAAATACAGAAAACCCAATTCAAATATACAAAATACAAAACTATTCAACTCTTTTCTTGTTAAAAAGTTAGATTGTATCTTGCACCTGACTCTTGACGTTTTACTAATATAAAACAGATTTAAACTCTTTTTCATCCTTCCCTCTCTCTCTCTCTCTTCTTGAGTTTTTGTTGGACTTATTTCTTGTATAAATACAGTTTGAGGTTTAAATTGAATCTTTTCAAACTTGAATTTTGAGAATTGCCGAAACCATAAGTTTTTTTTATTTGGTTTGGCTCAACATGAATGAGGTTGCTATTGTTGGACTTTTTATTTTTATTTTTTATCTTTTTAAAACAAAAGTTTTTATTTTTAAATTTTGATATAAAAGTGAATATTTAAACCAAGCTAAGAACATTCTCGTTGTTCTACCGAGTTCCCCAATCAAAATTTTAGGCAAGTTGGCAATGGGTTTACAAACAAACAAACATAAAAAAAGAAATTATACAACTTTGTATCTGTAGATTTTTCATAATTAAAAATCGTATGCCCTACAAGTTTTCTCTAATTTTATCTTAAATTATTGTGAAGCTTCTGAAAAGACTACAAACTTAGAAAGTTTTCAAAACGAACCAAGAAATGATTCATATCTTTAGTTTTTCTGCATTTGGATTGTCATGTTTAAAATCTATTAAGTAGAGCTCTGTTTTGTTTAAGAATCGAATTAAAGGGACTGTCAACATTATTTCAAGTGAACCCCTCTTCCCCCATATAAGACAGTTGTATGTCAGATTAACAACGGTATCCTTTAAATTTTTGTCGGAGTTATACTTTCAGTTTTCTATATCAAAATAAAATGAATTCTGACGATTTCCTTCATTGTTTCAGCGGCATCAATCCACGAGATACATTTGACAATGAACAACGTTTAAGCTAAACAAATAAGGATATCTCTTACAACCTTGTGAATTGGATATGCCACTCTGAAATTGAATTTAAATCTACAGTCCCTGTAAGTCAATTGTTTTTGAATTGAAATAAAAAGTCCAGTTTTCATGGTTTAACTCTGTGGAATTAAAACTGTATGAGACTATTCAACTTTTACATTCCATTTTAGGTGGGGGGGGGGGGCGCAAGGTAGAAGGGGAAGGTGGTTAGGTTTGGGGAGTAATAGGTGAAAAGTGGGGTTTCATTTACAATGTATTGTATCTAACAAATGTTTACAATAAAAAGTTTATAAACGAGGGGAGTGTAAAGAAAGAATGCCAGGGAATAATGTAACACGACTCCATCTTTCTAATTAAAAAAGGCAGTTTACAAAGCCGTGATGACCTAATTAGCCCTTGCAAGAAAAAGGCCGCAATTAGAGGTATGAAGACATGCATGGGTTTTATGTCCCTGAAAACACACGTTTTGTATCCTAGAATATGTTTTTACGCATTGCAGTTCAAACTGATTTTCACGCCAGATTCACAACGATACTCTGAAAAAATGTTCTTCAAAAATAATGATTTTTTTATTAGAAACAAGAATGGAATTCGACAGAATCTTTATTTTTAAAATGGTTATTCGGGTTTAAAGAAATTGATGGGCTAAGGTGGGGTTATGGTGACTTGAACGACTACTAGAACAGTATCGTACATCGAGAATTCTCAAGGGGTGGGGAAAAATAAGCTAGGAAAGGTCAGATCTCTGGGGAATAGCTAGTAGGGGTAGGGAAAAGTAGGACAAAAATAAATATTTCCATTAAACATTATTATCAAGTTTTTTTAAGCTACCCTTTTTACCCCTCCCCCTCCGGCCCTTCCTTCTTCATTTTTTGCCCCTGATATTATACTCTTTAGAGTGGGTTGTATTGTATTATTCTGCAAGTTCATCTAAAATGTATAGTTTGCTCCTTCTATTTAAGAAAATAGGTTTCTTTCACCAGTAATAATGCATGTCCAGGAACTAGGCCAAACTTTTTTTCTGTTTACTCATCTTTTTTATATTATTATCAAGAGGAAGTTTAAAATGTAAGCAGTTTTATTTTATTCATTGACAACAATTCTTGGCTTTCAAGAAGCCCTGAGAAATATGACAAATTTAAAATTTGTTCGGTCTAGCAGTTTAAAAAAAAAATCTTTTCATCTTTTCTATATTTTTCATATTTCCTATATTTTCTATATTTTCTGTATTATCTGCATTTTCTATATATTTTATAAACTTTCTATATTTTCTATATTTTCTATATTGTCTATATTTTCTATATTTTCTATATTTTTTGTATTTTCTATATTTTCTATATTGTCTATATTTTCTATTTTTTCTATATTTTCTATATTTTCTAAACTTTCTATATTTTCAATATTTTCTGTATTTTCCATATTTTCTATATTATAGAAACAATTCGGGTTCCCAAAATTCTGAAAACTGCAACAAATTTGTAAAAATGCAACATTTTTGAAAATGTAGAAGATATAGATTCAAAGAACTATACAAAGTAAACAAAATCATTAGTTAAAATCGTCAAAATTTTACAAAATGGAAAAAAATAAAACTCTTAAAATACATCTGTACATTAAATAGTTTCTGGAAACGTGTTGTAGAATTTGAGTCGGGTGGGGGAAAAAATGACCGTTCAATGATATTTAATTTCATTTTCACTTCAAGGATATCTATTAATATAAAGTAATAAAACCCATTGAAATGGAACAGAAAATCGTGAAAATATTTAACTATAGAATACCAGGAACACTTTTATGTCATTCAAAATCTTTCAATTGTTATTTTAAAAAGTTTTCTAAACTCGTTTCTAGGTTTATTCGAGTGTTTTTTATATGAAATGTCAGTATTTTGTAATTTGTAATTGTTACAAATGACATTTTTCTAACACTGTTTAAGGCTCAGTTTTAGAAATTCAAATTATTAAAAGTCAGACATATTTTACAATAAAAAAGTAGAAAAAAGAAGAAAAAAGAAGAAAAAAAGAAGAAAAAGATGAAAAATGAATACATAAATTGACGAATCATTTTCTCTAGAGTTCCGTGATACAATATATAACATTTTCTCTGTAATATCGTAAATACTTAAACAAAGTTTTGAAGAGAACGAATATGGATATCTCAAGTAGACTGTTCTTAAAGGGACTGTACGTGTAATTTCAAGTGACAATCTCGAATTGCAATGCAAGGATGGCAATTCGTGATTTACAACGCGGTATTCATTGTCTGATCAAGTAGGAATTAGATATTCATGTTTTTGTTTCTTTAAACTATTTATTTTTATTTGCAGTTTCTCTGTAAAATAAATTTTGCATTTCTTGCTTATAAAAAGCAAAGAAGAAATTATCAGAATTACACACTTAAGAGTCGGGAAAACGACAATATTTTCTTAGTTTTTGACCAGATTAAGGTTTCAAGGGTACCGTTGTAAATCGGGCATTGCCATCTTAGCATGGAGGGTAACATGAAATTACAAACAAAATGTTTGTAATTTCGGAAATTCGGAAAAAAACGTAAAAATCTCTATTGTTCCATTAATTTAGGTTTATTATGGAGTTGAGTATTGGAGATGAGTTGGCTGTGTTGACATTCTCAAACTCTAGCAGAATACATCTTGATCCAACCAGTATTAATCAGGAGAATAAACCAGGTAAACTCCAGCAGAATACATCTTGATCCAACCAGTATTAATCAGGAGAATAAACCAGGTAAACTCTAGCAGAATACATCTTGATCCAACCAGTATTAATCAGGAGAATAAACCAGGTAAACTCCAGCAGAATTCATCTTGATCCAAACAGCATTAACCAGGAGAATAAACCAGGTAAACTCTAGCTGAATACATCTTGATCCAACCAGTATTAATAAGGAGAATAAACCAGGTAAACTCTAGCAGAATACCAGTAATAATCAGAAGAATAAACCAGGTAAACTCCAGCAGAATACATCTTGATCCAACCAGTATTAATCAGGAGAATAAACAAGGTAAACTCCAGCAGAATTCATCTAGATCCAACCAGTATTAATCAGGAGAATAAACCAGGTAAACAATAATACAATTTACATAATATACAAATTTGACAAAACATTGTATATTATATACATAGCTTACAGACAGTACAGTACACATATTAAACCAAATACAGATAGCACATTGTACACAATAAACCAAGTTCAGACAGTACAGTGTACATAATAAATCAATTACAAACTGACTGTTTTCTTACTGTACATAACATACAGCTATTGACATTGGAAAACCAGATACAGATTTTAATATATGCAGTACATACTATAAACAATAATTCTAAATTTTTAAAACCAACAAATATCTGCAGGCATTCATGGAAGAGTTCCTGGTCGAGCCGGGACTGATGTTGAATCCTGCATTTCCTGCGCACTGCGCGATGCCGCAAAACTCATTTCAACATCGAAGACGACCGAAACCAAAATAATCCTTGTAACAAGTGGGGAAAGCCAGGAGAAAGTTGAGATTGCAGATAACAGTGTTCCAGTTTATGCTATTGCATTCAGAGAATCTAAGATGGAAACTCTAGTTGAAATCACCAAGCATGGAAAAATGTTTGTGATTGAAGACGATGATAGCGCTCTGCTGGCGCACTTTAGTGACGCTTTTCTAACTCTCAAGGAAGGAGAAACTAAAGCAAGCAAGTTCTTTCAACAGAATTACAGGCAAGCCTATCTTTAATTATTTTTGTGTTGTACAGAGTCTTTTTGTACGAAGTGTACATTTACAATTTCTACATGTACAAAGTATTGGTGAGCAAAGTCTATATGTACAAAGTCTACATGTACATAGTCTTCATGTTCTACGCCTATTCATTAAAATTCTATTTGTACAAAGTATACTACTTGTACAAAGTCTATATACAAAGTCTGTACTGTAAGTAGACTTTGTACTCATACAAAGTAAACTTTGACAAAGTCTACATGCACCATGTCTACATGTACAAAGTAAACTTGTACAAAGTCTACATGTACCATGTCTACATGTATACAAAGTAAACTTGTAAAAAGTCTTCATGTACCAAGTCTACATGTATACAAAGTAAACTTGTACAAAGTCTTCATGTACCATGTCTACATGTATACAAAGTAAACTTGTAAAAAGTCTTCATGTACTATGTCTACATGTATACAAAGTAAACTAGTACAAAGTCTGCATGTACCATGTCTACATGTATACAAAGTAAACTAGTACAAAGTCTACATCCACGTCTACATGTATAGTTTCTTCCGTAGTGTCTATTGTCTAGTGTTTACTTTATGTGTGTTAAGTGTCTAGCAAACTGCTCTCATTCATCAGGAAATTATTTGTAAAAACATGAAATCCTCCCCCTCTACTCTTTTTGATTTCAAGGTATTTAATTGTGGTAAAAATATTTCCAATTGTGTAATTTCACGCTTTAGTTAATTCGAAAATTTGTAAATTTTGTTAAACCATGACCGCCCCCTTTTCCTTCTAATCGTTTTCCTATTAAATATTTTACCATTAAATAAATAAAATTATAAAAAATTGCTAAATCCTAACTTTCTCTTGTTTAGGGTATCTCCACGAGAGAAGATTGAGGGTAAGTTTACAGTTGAGGAATCCCTCCTCCGTAACCTAAAAGTGATGAGTATTACAAAGGACAAGGAAGACATTGAAACCTTTGAGTTGATCTCTCCCTCCGGCAAACTGCACAGGAATATATTCATTATTCATAAACCTCGCCCCCCTAGTTTAATTCTTCCTTCAGGATTATATCGAACCTTTTTTGGATATTCAAAAACGCCTCAAAGCTCACGTCAATATTTACTTTTCTAAACTCGGAAGATGAAGTTAACTAAGAATAACAAAATTCAAGGATCTCTTAAAGATTAGGATCTTACACCCCCCCCCTCCACACCCCTCCTCCCACACCCTGGGAGTTGAAAAAATGCCGATTAAATCTTAGATTTGAGGGGTGTGAGTATTCTTGAATGAATATGGTTGTGAACAGGTTCCCCTTGGTTGAACGTGGAAGTGTTTACTTTGAGTTTGAGAGTAGAGTTGAGATGGGAATCTGGAGTTTCTCAATCCAACCTTCTCTATCAACAACCAAACCCAGTATATCTCTCTCCATCTCGGCATATGCCGAACAGTCTGCGGAGTCTACGATAACCGTGACAACCTGGACCAATGTAGATCATGGATTATCCAGTCCTCTGGATGGTCCAGTGTTAATCTATGCCCGGGTCCTGGAGGGAAACCTTCCTGTCTCCGGGGTAGAGGTGAGAGCTGAGATACGAAAACCGCAGGGTGAACTGATAGAGATTATACTTGAAGATGAGGGTACAGGTTATCCTGATGTAACCATGGGAGATGGTATTTACACGGGTTATATGACCAGTTTCAGCTCCGTATCTGGATTTTACAGCCTCGTAGTGCGAGCTGAAGATGGGGCTGGGAGAGCCAGGATCCCAACTCAGATTGTCGGACAACTAGATGATTGCTGCGGATCCAACTATCCTGTAGTATCTTCCATTCCCACACCAACATTTACTAGAGTCGTGATGGGATCTTCGTTCTATCTAACCCAGGGTGTCCAGTTCTTTATTAGGGACGGAGTGCCAAAGATTCAGGATATCTTTCCACCATCTAGAATTACAGATCTCAGAGTACATGAGTATATACAAGACAGTTTAGAAGTTGTACTCAGCTGGAGTGCTCCAGGTGGAGATTATAACACTGGCACTGCGGCTCGATACTCAATAAGAAGCTCTTCAGATAGAGACCTACTTGCAAATGGCAATTTCTCTCTCAGCGGAATTCCAATTCATGATTCTTTAATACCCAAACCTGAGTTAGCGGGTTCACAACAGTTCTGCACTGTCACACTTCCTTGGGGAAATGAAATATTTTACTACGGTATAATGGCGATTGATGACGGTGAAAACACAAGTCCTGTATCCAATCTTGTATCTGTTTTTGCAAGGGAACTTGTCATTGCATCTGAAGGATCCATTGGGAGAAACCTGACAGGTTCCCCGGGATCTCTTCCCTCCACTGTCCTTGAGGTGTTTGAAGACAACTTGTTAGTGTACATCATTGCTGGCTGCATTACTGGTATTGTTCTTATTGTTCTCATTGTCATCCTCATCTCTCTCCGCATATCCAGGAATAAATCAAACCAGAAACCCAAGCGGGAGTTTATCACTGAGATAAGTTCTCCAACCCTGATCCACTCCTCCTCAGCCCTCACTGGTATCCTCAAAGATACAAGTCTAAGTGTTATACCGAATAAAAGTTCTCCTCAAGACTTTTCTATGGACTATGCTGTATACAAGTCAGGTTTACCTGGTAGCCCACGAGATGATGTCTCATGGGCAATACTACCTACATACACTAACAGTGCGTTCAGAAAATCCTCTGACACCTTGGTGGACTCCGGGTACTACAGAGCAGGAGAACAAGTTGACAATGTGTCTGAGTTCTATCGACCCGCCTCGGACTATGTGACCTACCAAAACCTCAAGCGGGAGGAGGTTACTGGAGACATTAGTGATAATGGTACCGGTACCACCTCCTCTACAGATTGTGAGAACAGTGAGACCTGTTCAGACAAGAACCTGCCAAACTTCCAAGGATTAGGGAAGGATACAAGCAGAAATGCTGCCAGTGAGTTCCACAGCTTGGTGGTGACTGGTGAGGATTGGAGGCAAGGAGAAGGTTCAAAATTATCAGTGTCTGGACCTATATCTCTCCAGGGACTATCTGAGTATGATTTACAAGAAAAAAGACGACGAAGAGAATCTTTTGTTTGACAAATTTGCTTAATGGTATTAAAAATTCACCATATTTTTAAAAAAACACATCAATATTTTTAAAGTTTTATCAAATTTGTCAAATTCTGCCCAATTTTGCTAAATATGTTCCCTTCATTTCATAAACTGTGATATTACACTTGTACCTGATTCACTTTAATTTAACACTTAAAAACATTTTTGTAAATTTTTTAAATTTTGTAAATGCACCCCACCAAATTTCATTTGAAGTATTTCACTTGAAAACAGGAGTTATTCTAGTTCTTGTAAATAATACTTTTGTTTTTTTCTTAAAATTTTTTATCTTTTTTGTTAAATATATACATTTAATTATTATTTCTGATATATTTTTTATGACAGGAAAGTGCCCCTACTAATGAAAAAAGAAGAAATTTTTAAAACATTGGATAGCTTTTATTTAATAGATTAAAGTAAACGAAACTTTTTTTGTGTGCTAAAGTGTTAAAAATGTTTTGGTTAGCCGTCAATAATGCCTGTGCTTCAGTGCTTTTTTCAGTGCTTCAGTGGAAAAAAACTATTAAAATTATTGGACTTTTTTAATTCAAAATGATTATTAGTCTAAAATAAAATTTACAGAATTCGACAGTTTTTCAAAGAGGGAAGCGAGGATATCTTACTCATTGTTGCTCATATACTACCAACTAACAGGGTGTACCAATAAACATGAGAATTAAGTGACGACTTCCAGATCTAAGTCTATGACCTTGAGTCATGGAATTTTAAAATTGTGGTTTGTCATTTTCATACCTTCAAATTTGGAGTGGTCATTAAGAAATTTGTCTGGATTATTTAGATCGAAATGTTTTTTTTTAGAATTTAGTTTCTCAGTCAATTTTGTAATTTACTAGAAACTTTATTGTTTATTGTTTAATTAACTCTCAAAGACGAATTGATTTCAATAGTTATTGGGACACCCCGTATTAATATTTGATCGTATGCACGAATCTTGATACTAAAATCTTTGATTGAAACCCCAATGATAAAACAATATAATTCCATACAAGATACCCGGGCTAAATACCTCCTCACCTAAACTCTTTCTCGGTTATATCGGCGCAGTTGGAGGTTAAAGGGACTTGACACGAAAATTCTAGATATTTTTGTATCATGGCAAATCCTATTTGCAAACTTTAAACACGGATAAATGGGATACCCTCGTTTTTCAAGCTGAAAATTGTGGTTTCTCTGTAAAAGTGGCATGCGGAATTATGCTACAAACACAATGGTGTAAATCNAGAGTAAAGGGCAAAAGTGATGAGGAGAGGGGGGGGGGGATTCTTGAAAATATGTCAAAATTCCCTTTAAATACCTCAATGTTTTTCTACCTTCGTATTTGATATGTAAAGCATGAATGCTATTGATGCCGTTAGATAATTTACAATTTTACAACCCTCCCGACAATTTTGAGGGGCGATAAAAAATTATCACAGCGAGAAGAGATATATAAGGAGAACCATCAAACAAGTCATCTTGAATAATATGGGGGAGGGGGGGGGGTTAACTTTTAAGATAAGACATTTTTAAAAAGCAGCAAAGAAACTGATTTTTCAATTTTTCACCAAAAGCTATAATTTTCTGTTCCCTAAATGTTATCAATCTAATGCCGTAAACTTTTGATATGTTAAACTTTGCTTGTTTTGAAATATTAAAAGTTATGCAGCGATGAAATGATTGGAAAGTGATTAATTCCTTCTTAAATGTACGGTTTCACAAGTTTCCATTTCCTGCATGCTTGTCCTATGGCAACAGTGCTTGGTCTTCTCTAATACATCTGGCCTAGCCGTAGTGCAAGGTCCCATAACCTGGCAATAGACTGTATAATAAGATGAATCAGTTTTCAATAGTTTAGGTCGACTTAAAAAAGGCATAACTCCTTGGCATGTACATTTTATAATTGTAAAGCCCTTGTTTAGTTGTTAAGAAGTAATTTGAAAAATTCTCATTGATTTTTGCGCAAGGGCTTGCAACTAGAGATGGGCACGTCAGACTTTTTTCATTTCATTCGTTCATCATTCGTGAACAACCCATTGCGTTCATTCATCATTCGTGAACAACCCATTTCGTTCATTCATCATTCGTGAACAACCCATTTCGTTCGTCAATCTTTTGTTAACGACCCATTTCGTTCTTTTTTTCCATTTTTTCAAACAAAAATTGATTTCCTTCGTTCTAAAATTAATCGTTCATTTTTCATCTATAACGTTCGTTTTCTTACTGAACGATCGTTAAGTAAAATACTTCGCTCAGTAAAATGGTTCGTTCAGTAAACTAGAATGATTTTGTTTTAATATTTTTCTCCCTGCAGTGCTTAACAGACTCAATTATTGACACATTAAATCATCATCTATGAATGAGGAAGCTATTCTATTATACTCTATCAAAAAAGAGTTTAGTTCTGACAATTTCCTTCTCTCTTTCTCTCATTAAGTTACTTTTAAAGAGAACCACAATCGAATATTATCAATTTTTGGCTAAGATATCTCATTCATCCTTTATCAGATAAAGGGTTAAAGGGTACTGTTGTGAATCTGACAATGACATGCCACTCTATTAAGGAGGGCCACCTGAAATTTCGTCTACAGTCGCCTTAAAAGTGATTAAAAAATACAGTTACAGGAAACACAGGGAATCATACACACATTTCCTACATAGAAATAGTAGTAATCTCTGTTTGTTTGTTTATATGTCCGAATCATAACTCAGGAACCAATTATCAAATTTGCGTCAAATTTTGATTGGAGAACTATGTAAAACCAGGGGAATGTTCTTAGCTAGGGTTAACAATTCTTGGTTGAATATAGGTTGACTCTTATAAAGAAAACTTAGTTTCCCAAGCTAGTATTTTATAAATTTTTTTTTAAGATCTAGATATTTATTATCTCCGTACAAAATAGTTTACATGTGTTTAATAACAAAGTTTTTCGTTTACATTTGTTTGAGAGATTTTTATAAGAGTTTAATTATGGATACATTTTAAAATAAAAGATTTGGAATCAAGTTTACTTTTATTATGCAAAACTTAAAAATTGAGAAATTTACCAATGAAATGGTAGGACATTAAATGCATATAAAAAATTATTGACGAGAATAGGGTTTGCGGATTGAATAGAAATTTTTAATAACAAAATAGTGTACATATGATTTGAGCAATTTATGTAGAAATCAGTTTGCGTGGACACAATGTAAAATAGCTTATTAGAGAAACATTAAGTTTCAGTTGGAAGAAAAAACATTTTATAAAATAATGTAAACACTACTCTTCTCTGAAAACATATCAAGGAAACAACAACTTGCATTCTGCCAAGATTACCGGATGTTAAAAGTCAGAATAAATGATAGGAAGGGGGGAGGAGGGGGGAGTATGTCTGCTGTGGTTTCATCAAAATTTTCGTTGAAAAAAAATTGCCGAAAATTTTCTTTCGCGAATTTCGATGTATTTTTGATGAAAGTTTTGACCTCATTTTCGTGAACATTTTTCATTTTCGCGAAATTTTCGTTTGATTTTAATTCGATTGAAAACAAAATGTTTTCATTTCGCATCAAGACGATTGTGTATTTGCGAAAAAATAAGATTTTGAACTAAAGGTCTAAAATTTCGCGAAAATTTCGAAATAATTTCGCGAACTTCGCAAACAAATTTTAACAAATGTTAATAAATTTTCGTTTTCGTTCAATTTTCGTTTGCTGAACGATTTTTTGCGAAAGAGTTGCAAGAAAATTTGGAAATCCAAATGTCTGTGCGTCGAGGATCAAGATGATGTTTAAGTAGAAGTATATGGAGGGTTGGATAGGTTTCAATGTATTGTATACAATTTGCTTTGAATATATCTCACAGAGTAGACAATACTTAAGTACTCTGCCAAGCATTTCCACTTTGTTTTATGTTTTTTTCTTTCTGTTAGCAAGAGAGTCACAGTCACTTTAATCAATGTTTGACTTTCGAATATTGTCCTAAGTTTTTTTTTTGAGATTGTGCTTGCTTTCAAGCTTTAAACTCCCTATTTTCTTACCATCAACCCCCCTAATCCGTCAAATAAAATTTCTTGGCGCCCCTGAGTTTCCATGGTGTGCGAAGAAATCTGTTTAAACGCGCACAATGGACTGAATTGATATGTAACTCCTGACATGTCAACTCAAGCAGCTAGCATCAGGCAGTTAGATAGGCAGTAGTACAGATATCAGGCAGTTAGATAGGAAGTAATACAGATATCAGGCAGTTAGATAGGCAGTAATACAGATATCAGGCAGTTAGATAGGCAGTAATACAGATATCAGGCAGTTAGATAGGCAGTAATACAGATATCAGGCAGTTAGATAGGCAGTAATACAGATATCAGGCAGTTAGATAGGCAGTAATACAGATATCAGGCAGTTAGATAGGCAGTAATACAGATATCAGGCAGTTAGATAGGCAGTAATACAGATATCAGGCAGTTAGATAGGCAGTAATACAGATATCAGGCAGTTAGATAGGCAGTAATACAGATATCAGGCAGTTAGATAGGAAGTAATACAGATAACAGGCAGTTAGATAGGCAGTAATACAGATATTAGGCAGTTAGATAGGCAGTAATATTGATATTGTCTTTAGATTCTTCAGGGAGCTCAGGGAAAGATTGGGGCGGGGGTGCGGAGGGGGAATAACAGTTTTTGCATCGTTGTTTTTTCATAACTTATTACTGATTTGTTTAATAAGTTTTTTATTCGAATTCTGATGCTTTATGTAGTTAGGTTGTTTTACAAAGAATTATAAGGGGTTATAAATTACGTTAAAAATCAGGTTTAGAGTTATTGCAAAATAGTCTTGTAAGTGATTTGGGACTTTTTTATACTTTATGGTGATTTGGTACAAAGTAAGGTTTGTGATTAGTTTAGTACCGAGTGAAGCTTTTGAAGTGATAAAGACATTGAGAAGACTATGTGGGTAATTTTGCACTAAGTATGATAGGTGAATAATTTTGTATTGAGTAGGGGTTTTGAGTAATTTGATGCTGGATAAGATTTGTAGACTTAGAAAAACGTTATATCATTGAGGGGTTTTTATTGATTTTAAGCAAAATAGTGGTTGTTAGGGAGTTTAAATAAGTGACAATTGAGAGATATTGAGATGTGAGTGACAAAGTACTTGGCAGAAATTGTGAGTGAATTTGTACTCAGCTGGGGGTTGTGAGTGACTGGGTTAGGTCGTGTGAGTGTTCTAATTAACCTGAGTTAATCTTGAAGATGGTTTAATATTCAAAACTATTCATTTATACCACACA